ATTAGCCACCTCATGGCCCGGCCCCCCACCCCTCCTGCCCCCGCCGCCCTGCCCTACTCCCTCACCCCAGGCTCACCCCGGTCCATCAGGTGATCTATCCGCTCCTGACTGTTCATCTTCAGATGGTAGTTGCAGCCGAAGCAGATGTGGTGGTGCTCCTTCAGGTGCTTTATGTAGAGGATCACCCCGCACTTGTCGCAGCGCGTCCAGAGACCCTTGCTGCGGTCGACCGGCTTGGTGCCCTTCTCGGCGGCGGCGTCCGCGGCGGAGGCCGCGGGGGCGGCGGCGACGCCGACCGGGCGGGATATGATGGGGTTGCCGTCGGCTGCGGCCGCGCGCGGCGCGGCGGGGCTGCGTCGGGGCGCCGGCGGCGCGGCCGGGTGCGGGCGGCCGTGCGGCGCGGCTGGCTGGGGAGGGGCGGCGGGGGAATGCGTGTGGGGCGGGAGGCGGCGGGATGGGCCAGTGGGCTGCTGAGGCAAAGGGGGCCCAAGGGCGATGCGTCTGGTGTGTGAAATGCAAATGCAGAGCAGGGGCATGCTGATGTGTGCTATGCTGCACAATCCATGAGGTGCGACAGGCACCATAAGAAGTGAAGATTTTTGCCACACGACACACTGGCTTCTGGCTGCGCGCAACAGGCCAGCAGATGCTGCTATGGCAGTGCTTGCTGTTGCGACGCAGCAACACCGTCCCCGCCAGGGTGGCACCGCGCCACGCCGCTGGTACCGCACGCTGGCCATGAGCCTCATACTGTATGAACGTGTATCATATGCATCTGAATATCCAAGCTACGCAATGGAGCTCACGCATGCCGTGTTGATTGCTCTGAAATCACGGCGAAACGCTGTGACCACCCCGCGCGATGGGTCCCTGCAATCCACAACATGGGCAAGCCGAAGTTTTTCTGCGACTCACCTGCACACGGGACGCCGTACCCGCGCTACTGGACAAGGAGTTCATCGTTGTATTGGGTGCTTGAGCCGCGCACTGAGGGTGCTGACAAGCGCATACCCTTTGCCAAAACTGTACTTATCCACTTGGCCCTCTGTCAAGTATGTGAGTGTGTGTGCGCGATCACTGCAGCAGTCGCAGCTGCGCGATCTGGTCAAAGACCCGCCTTCCAACGCACTTCTATTCCGTATGCGCAAATGGGGTTGCTGCCACAACAGAATACGAGCTAAAACACAATTATGAGATGATGTACATGTCATGGAGGGAACCTTTGTGCTCATTTGTTGCGGCCATGTAAGTACGGTATGCTGGTGTAGGCACGCCCATCAACGGGCCAACAGCAGCGCCCACGCGGCAAGGCTTGCCTTGTGCTTGAGCTGTCATCACATAAGCAGCTTGGGGTTTAGTATGGACAGGGCGCACCTGTTCTCTGAACCCCATCTCTCCCGGCATGTTTGCAAGGGACGCAGCAGTTTGTCTGCGCGCATAGCGCCGCCCTGACGTGTGCACTGCGCGGATGCGCTGCAGCGGCCTGCTCAGATAAATAGATAAGTTACTCATGCCATAGCATCACTGCCATCGGCCTGCTCAATTGCATGCATGTATAAACCTGAGCACGTTACACCACGACAAAGTAAATGAGCTGAACGCCAGTAACAGCAGGCGGTCCCATGCCAACGCCGCGCCACCGACTGGGAATCCCGGCATGCAGCTCGCGCACGCCTCACAGCTCAGCCGTCACGCACGCTGTCAGCAGGCCCAGCCTCCGGCTGAGCTTGACGCTCGTCACCCTGCCGCCCGCGCAGCCCTCAGGCAGCGCCACCACAAAGCGCTCCTCCACGGCCGCCCCCGCGCCCCCGCCGCCGCCCTGCTTGGGCGTCACCGTCACCGCCAGGGCGCCCCCTTCGACACGTGCAGTGATGTCAGCCTCCAACGCGGCGGGCAGCGGCCCTGGGGCCAGCACATCCACGGCGGCGCCGGCGCCGCCAGCAGCATGGCACGCCTGGCCCCGCCACTCCCTCTCGCCGGCCGGCGCCGCCGCCGCCAAGCGCCAGGTGAGCTCACGCAGCAGGTCCATGTCTAGGGCCTCCAGGGCAGGCGGCGGTGCCGCCAGCGGCCGCCACGCGGCTGAAGCAGCAGGCACGGCCTCGCGCCGCAGGGTGCAAAGCTTCGCCGACTGCCCCACCGCGACCAGAGCGGTCGCTGCCGCGCCGACGTCGCTCAGCACGCAAAGCGTGACGTGCAGGGAGCCCGCAGCCCCGCTCGCCGCGGCCTCGGGCGTCAGCCAGTGCGCAGTCGCGGCGTCCTCATCGTACGCAAACGAGCACACCAGGTGCTGCAGCTCCTTGAAAGCCACCGGCTGCCCGGCCACGAGTGGCTCTTGGCTCACCGCCAGCAGCAGCGGCGCGTCAGGTTTGTACTGCCACAGCGCAGTGCCGGGCTTGGCCGGGTACGTCACCCGCACCAGCGGCCCGGACGCGCTCCCCGCCTGCGCCCCCACGTGTGTCAGCAGCTCGGCCTCAAATAGGCGCGCAGGGATGACGCCGCCGCCGCCGGCCGCGGCCGCGATCAGCGCGCGGAGCAGGTCGGGTGCGTGGTCGGGCGCGGCGAGCGCGAGCAGCTGCGCCAGCGCCAGCGGCGCCGCCTCATCCAAAGCGCCGGTCACTGCGGTGGAACAGCGTGCCGGGCATGAGCAGGTGTATGGGCCGCTGCGCCTTTAGCGTCCATAGCCGGCGCCACGCCGGGAACTGGTACAGCGCAGCCCTGCAAAAAGAGCTTCCCCGTTCCAGATGCGCATTGTTTGGCTACCATCAGCCCTGCAAAAAGCCCTGTCGGTCCATGCCATCAGCAAGCTTTCAAGGCATGCAGCCAGTCACCATGCGACTGCTGACGCCGCGGGGGAGCTTTGGTTCCTCCCTCGCACCTGGCAAAGCGGTGGCGTGCTTTGACACAAGCCGCTGAAAAGCGGGCAGCAGGTCCAGAAGCAGGCCGCCCGCGGTGACGCCGCCGCTGCCGCTCGGCGGCGCCGGCGCCCACTCGGCCCGCAGGGCGCCCCGGCCGGCGGGCAGCGGCGCGGCACCCGCCAGCCGCAGGCCAAACAGCCGCTCCAGCAGGGGCAGCGGCAGGCCGGCGAGCGCGTCGGCCACAAACGCGCCGAGGCCGAGAGAAGGGTTGCGCAGGCGCGCCGCCTGCCACGCCACCATGCTCTCCGTCCGCAGCCGCGCGTGGGGCGCGGGCGACAGCAGCGGCACAGCCGCCAGCAGCAGCGCCGGCAGCGAGACGTAGTCCGCCACGTTGCTGCAGTCGATGTAGTCAAAGGTTTGACTGCCCAGCTGCAGGCCGCCGCCGTCGAAGCCGCCGCTGCAGCTGGCGTCGCCCGGCTGCTCTGGCGGCGCTGATGTCATCACGGCCAGGATGTCTCCAGGCACTAGCGTGACCACCGCCCGCCCGGACCGCAGGGCCTCGCGGGTCGCCTCCAGCTGCGGCCGCAGCGTCGCGAGCAGCTGCGCGGCGGCCGGCGCCTTCGGCGGCCCGCTGCGCGGCACGGCTCGGAAGATGGACGACGAGAAGTAGCCTGGTGGCATATGTAGAGGCACAAAGTATGAAGTTGTGTTGGGCAGGTTGAGGGGTTGGGAGGTTGTGAGCAGCGGTATCAAAAGGCTACATAGCCACATATGCATTGGGAGACAGGAAGGGGAGGGGCGTGCCGGCCCAAGCAGCCTGTCGTGTTGCCAAGGTCATTGCAGGCGGTCATGCCCACAGCACCAGCACCTGCTCGCTCCCTGGCCTGGCACAAGCCTGGACTCAAGCCGTTGCCCTTGCCCCTTGCTGCGAATCCCCGCCAGCCAGCCCAGCTCCGACTGCGGCTGGCAGAGTTGGGACCCAAGTGCCGCCTAGGCCCCCGGCACCCCCTGGCAACAACCCCAGCAATCGGCCCCAGCCAAAAGACCCACCGGTGTACTGCAGGTCTGGCGCGCTGAGCATGGTGACATTGGCGGCTGTCGGCGCGCCGCCCCCCAAATCCAGCCTGCCCGACCTCACGTACTCCTTGACTTCCGCCTTCACTTTTGGGGGCGCCTCCCCGACGGCCTCGAGCGACAGCCACACGGCTCCCACCGACGCCGCTTCCGCAAAGTCGTCGACCGCGCGGGACCGGCGCTCCAGCAGCTCGCTCAGCGGCATCTCGCACCCCGCCCACGCGCGTATGG